GCTGTTTCACAATTTGGGGAATCTGCAACTTCATCAGCGTTTTTCGATTTTAGTTTTTGTAATTTGTGCTTATAGTAAGCTAAATAGGTGGATATGGAAAATAAATTATTACTTTTGAATAAAATTCTGTATTCAAAGTCATGGCTGCCAGCCGAATCGGATCAGAATATTATTTTTTTAAAAAAGCACCCCATTTTTTATAAGCATTTGAAACACAGGTGGTTACGTAATTCTTATCTAATTAAAGGTCAGACCTACATATAATAATAGATAATAGATTGGCGCTTACACATATGTTAGTGTTTGGCCGAGCTTCTCCTCCAATTTGTGGCGTGCGCCTTGATGTTGTCACACAAAGAGGTGGGACCTACATTTTTACCACGACTCCGAACGGCGATTGTATTTTAATGAGTAGCTGTATTTCATGGCAGAAATACACTCGCAGGTTTGCCATTGCCTGCCGAGGGGTGACCGCTGTTAAGAAAAAACCTTTTTTCTAAATCTTTTGCGATGTTGCTTTGACCAGGGCTTGAACCCAGGCGTAGAGACAGAGCAAAGCCGAGCTCCTTGGAGTAGACTCCCGCTCCCACACCGCAATCCATCTTTAATCCATCGGTGTATAGGGAGATGGCCTCTCGGGTGGCCACTCGGTCTTTTCTCCAGTCCCTTCTGGATTGGAATAGCACTGGCACGTTACAGCTGAAGTCAAATTGCCTACCCTCTAAAAAATGTTTGTTTAAATTTGCGCATATTAAGATAGGTAACCAGTTTCCTCTCTTAATGAATGCAAATTTACACAACGTGTTAATTAAATTAAACACTGCTTGCTTACTATTACTTATCATATGTGTGGCGTAGAACGAATTTCAAATTTGTTTTTTTAATTCTAAACATTTATTGTTCACAATTTCACAGTTTATACATAAAATGTTTAAAATTTCCTCTAAATTTTTTTTTTAAATTTACGAATATAAAGAGAGGTAACCAGTTTCCTCTCCTAGTGTGTGCAAAATTATTAAATGCACCCTTTTCCCTGCGTACGATCGAGTTCAACAGTATACTGCTTGTAGAACCCGGTTAAATTGACCCTGACGTGGGTGGATGTCGAATACATCCCGGGAAATGGAGCTTGACTAACGTGTTTAAAGGATCACTGGCTGTATTCGTCCACGCCCCTTTTCTCCCTTAATGAGTGTAATATTGTTGTGTTCTTTTGATAGGATTTTGCTGAGCCTGGCTGAGTCTATAGAGTTCTCTATAGAAGAGCAGTAAGATTGCCAGGATTTAGTTTAAAATTTTTTCAATTATTTTTCATAAGATCTTAGGGGGCTTTTATAAGGCGCCCAGTCTCTAGTTCTAAAGCAATCATTGAAGATTTTACTTATTGGGCTCTGAGATCCCCATTCCACCAGGGTGGGGATTTCTTTCTTACTGTACTCTCTGTCTATCAATGTCCTCAACTGTAGTACAGTTGTATTTAGTGGAAGTTTACTTCGTTTACGCTGTAGGGGTTTCTGTTTTTTGAGGGGGTGTTGGAAACTGCATACAGATTAAAGAGAATGATACGGTGATTAGACACCGGTGATAGCACCTCCTCCCATCCAAGAAACCGGTTTATATTGCAGATGCTTAAGTTAGTATTTAATAAGAAGTGTAATAAAGACTCACTTCGATCGTTTTACGTAGAAGTACCCCATACTGGATGCCTTCCATTCGCATCGGAGCCGACGACTATGATTTGTCTGGGGTTTTTGGCTATTATCTCCTTGATTTCAGTTGGCGGACTGTCCCTATCATGGGCCATGTATAATGAGGCCAGTGGTATACTTGGCAGTCCGGTGGTATCCACCTTAACCAGTGTTGTATCTGATGTGCTGAAATTAGAGCAAAGAAATGTATTTATCCCGTTCTTGATAATAATACACGCCCACCCACCTCGCTCTTTTAGTAGAGTTTGTAATTATTTATGTTCAGTTACATGACTGTATCGTGCTTGACCCAGGGCTCTTGAATTAGGCTAACGTCTATATCCTCCTCACCGAGGAGAACAGCTAGATTACCTGTAGCATATTTGGAGTGCTGCAGATTTATTTGGGCTACTTTAAGTTTTTGGTTCAGGGTCACCCGTCAGCTTCACACCCATGAGAAGCTTACCGGCTCCATCAACCCCCGGATCTTCTTCTACCGGACTAACCTCTCCGAGGAATACCCGCACTCTAGCCTTATGGATACCGAAGCAGAGCCGATAGTCAGTCTTTTCTAAGGCGTCTAGTGATTCTGGGCAAATGNAGTGTGTGCAAAATTATTAAATGCACCCTTTTCCCTGCGTACGATCGAGTTCAACAGTATACTGCTTGTAGAACCCGGTTAAATTGACCCTGACGTGGGTGGATGTCGAATACATCCCGGGAAATGGAGCTTGACTAACGTGTTTAAAGGATCACTGGCTGTATTCGTCCACGCCCCTTTTCTCCCTTAATGAGTGTAATATTGTTGTGTTCTTTTGATAGGATTTTGCTGAGCCTGGCTGAGTCTATAGAGTTCTCTATAGAAGAGCAGTAAGATTGCCAGGATTTAGTTTAAAATTTTTTCAATTATTTTTCATAAGATCTTAGGGGGCTTTTATAAGGCGCCCAGTCTCTAGTTCTAAAGCAATCATTGAAGATTTTACTTATTGGGCTCTGAGATCCCCATTCCACCAGGGTGGGGATTTCTTTCTTACTGTACTCTCTGTCTATCAATGTCCTCAACTGTAGTACAGTTGTATTTAGTGGAAGTTTACTTCGTTTACGCTGTAGGGGTTTCTGTTTTTTGAGGGGGTGTTGGAAACTGCATACAGATTAAAGAGAATGATACGGTGATTAGACACCGGTGATAGCACCTCCTCCCATCCAAGAAACCGGTTTATATTGCAGATGCTTAAGTTAGTATTTAATAAGAAGTGTAATAAAGACTCACTTCGATCGTTTTACGTAGAAGTACCCCATACTGGATGCCTTCCATTCGCATCGGAGCCGACGACTATGATTTGTCTGGGGTTTTTGGCTATTATCTCCTTGATTTCAGTTGGCGGACTGTCCCTATCATGGGCCATGTATAATGAGGCCAGTGGTATACTTGGCAGTCCGGTGGTATCCACCTTAACCAGTGTTGTATCTGATGTGCTGAAATTAGAGCAAAGAAATGTATTTATCCCGTTCTTGATAATAATACACGCCCACCCACCTCGCTCTTTTAGTAGAGTTTGTAATTATTTATGTTCAGTTACATGACTGTATCGTGCTTGACCCAGGGCTCTTGAATTAGGCTAACGTCTATATCCTCCTCACCGAGGAGAACAGCTAGATTACCTGTAGCATATTTGGAGTGCTGCAGATTTATTTGGGCTACTTTAAGTTTTTGGTTCAGGGTCACCCGTCAGCTTCACACCCATGAGAAGCTTACCGGCTCCATCAACCCCCGGATCTTCTTCTACCGGACTAACCTCTCCGAGGAATACCCGCACTCTAGCCTTATGGATACCGAAGCAGAGCCGATAGTCAGTCTTTTCTAAGGCGTCTAGTGATTCTGGGCAAATGGCTAGCAGAATGGGCTTATTTGTAGGCCTTCTTGGCTCTTAAACCTTTATAAACTCCCATTCCTTGATCGTCGGTATGAGTTTATTATGTAGCTTAAGACGCCGCTGCAACTTTTCGCCTGTTTCATCCATCGGAGGTAGGCAAATGCGCCACGTGGTCTCCTTGGAATGCCCTTTGCTGGATGAGCTTGAGCTTCAAGCCGACAAAAGTGTCGCTGATCTTAGCAACACATCCAGCAAGGAAATCCAGGGAGAACTGGTCCGCGCACTTGACTACCCGGTATCTCCGTAGGGATTCCGACGAGTCGAACTCTGGGCGTGGACCATCGGATTTGTAGAGTACGTAGTTCATTACGAGGCTCGATAGCCTCACATCAATCTCCACACATTTCTGCTGCACTGCAAGCGGTGTCTTGCTATTTTCACCTATAATTGCCTCCTTCGCGGGTGCTGCGGACTCCGCATCACCTCCTCGCTTAGCCTTCTTTGTAATGGCTCTTTGGCCGCCTTCATTATGAGAGCGGTTCCGTTTCTTTGATCCGGTGGCCTCGATTATGGCTGCACGATCTGTCTGTAACTTTTCGTACTTTTCTACAACTATTTCTCTTGTAAAATAAAAAAATTTGTTAGTGAGGGGAGGTGTGACGATATGTTACAAGCTTCAGGAACAGTTTCCAAGTGAACTTAAAATCGCTCATTTGGCCATTTGTGAAAAAAGTGGATTCATACATAGACATATGTATATATTTATTCTTATCAACTGCAGGATGAGAGATGGCTGAAATGGTCATAAGATAACCAAAATAATCACTTCTGGAAATGTTAAGGTATCGGGGTAAAGTATCGATATTTTTACTCGTGTATATTGTTAAAAGCATCGATGCCAAAAATACTGGTAAAGGTGTAGAAAGTATTGATACTATCGTACTTGTGAGTAGTATCGTCCCAACCGTACATACATGCATGTGCGAATACATACATACATTTAGGCGCACCACCTACCACAAGAGTAAAGTGCGTGGCCACGTTCATATATACATACATCGATGTATATAACGCGCGTGACATTCACCTGACGAAATGAATATTGCGACTGAAGAGTGGTGTGAGAATGCTGCGCGGAACGGAGGACGAGCGACGAGTAACCGCCAAGTTGAGCAGATGATTTCCCGTCAACAATGTGAATGAAACCCTTTGACCAAACAATATCTGGCTGCATAGCACAACAAGTGGGGTTGGGTGCCTGAAAGCAGTACACTTTGCCAGCTGGTTCAGGCGGAAATATGTAGCAGGAACATTGAGGTGGCATGAGCTTTTAAAAGCTTTTTGCAGCATTTGCAGACATCGCTTTCTTAGTATTCTGCTTTCACTGCTTGGAATCATTACGGCGCCCGCTGAGCGAATGTTGAGCAGTTTCGTTTGGTTAGTGTAGCAGTTAAGTTCGAATTCCCGGCTAAAAGCAAAACAGCGTTTCTACGGTTTGTGAATAGAGAGTCACACAAGAAGTGAAGAGGGAACTTCCAAAATAAGTAGTAAAAATTTTGACGCGTGCGGCTTTCCGTTTGTCGGAAAGTCTTCAGCGAAAATTAATAAAGGGCTTTAGTTGCACACTTTTAATCAATGAGTTTTACAGAGTATCAGCGGTGTGTGTGTGTGTGAAAAAAAGATTTTACATATTGGTCTCAGCAAAATTTGGCAAGTGTCAAAATTTACGTCTGTATAATTTGGAGCAGTGTTGCCAACTTACTACATAGCGAGAGAGTGAAATGAGAAATTATTCATGGTGAATACAAAATAGAATAAGTAAGCGCACAATTTACACAAGCAAATAACACAAATATTGTTTTAAAACCGAATACAAAAATAAAATATTAATAATTTAGAATTGTGATTTTGTGGACGTCATTATTGCACGAAGAACGAAAAACAAATTTTAAGAAGACAATTTTTAAGGGTAGAGAAGCGGCAGTAAGAGACGCCGCAAGGATAAAAGTTGATACCGACAAGTGTGCGATGGTCTTTGCTGCATGGTGCAATCCCTCGGGCCTGCAGATGTTCCTGATATGCTCGCTGATACTGGTGTTCGCCATTAATCTGCCCACCATTGCGGCTACAAGCGGAAACAGTGCTCACGCCACGCTCAATGGAAGGAATGACGTGTTCACTAGTTCATTCTTGGTGCGTTTCAGGCGCAGCGTCGACAATGGCTTTGCTGGTGAAGTAGCAGCGCGCTACGGATTCGATAACATTGGACCAGTAAGTTAAAAAAAATATGCCACTATGCTGCAAAGTGCAAGCTTCGGAAATATATTTCTGGTTTTACAAATCTATTCGCAAATATTAGGATTGCTCTGGTTTCTGCAATTTGTTATTTTGGTAATCTGTGATTTGTTGTAGTTATTGTTGTTGTATTATAATATTTGTTACTCTTTTGATTCTTGGAAAATCAATTTGTTTCCACCAACTGGCAGCGTTATAGCGCCATACTTAACCCTTGAAATATTGGACGACACAGCGTCGTTGAGAGTGGAAGGCAACAATGCAAATAAAGGGGAAGAGCAGCCAGAAAATAAATAAATAACAAATTAGGGAAAAATATAGAAAGTTCAAACGCGTCAAACAAGAGGGGTGTCTATAAATATACATATGTGCATACAATATGTGCACATGTGTATAGTCACACATACCATTTGTATGCATGTATATACATACATTACATACATACATACATACATACATATGTATTATGTACGTGCACTGCGTGCTCCCCTTTAATTCGTTTATATGAATGTCTGACTGTTTGCGCGTGAATTCAGCTCCACGTTCACGTACATGATTGAACATATGCAAACGAACGTAGGAAGGTGGCAACATGTGTACATATATACATACATATGTATGTAGTATGTACTTAGTGGCCGTAGGATTTTTATGATTTTCTTCGCATTTGCAGCGTTAGGGAATTTGTTTTGCATTTAAATTGCTCTGTCGTGAGCTCACTGAATTGTTCAGCATACTTTTGGGCGGTTATGTTCTATTTTCCCAAATCCTTGTAGATCCTTGCTGTTACAAGCCAAGGTAAGTGTCTGAGCTCTTTAGCTTTTCTCTCTAGAAGGAAGTTATTAAGTCTTAATTTTGGTTGGTTATGCCGCCAATTATTGCGTTTTTCTTCTCGTTTATAACATATGACGAAATTCAGATAATAAATTTCCGAATGGACTTTAATTAAGTCCCCTTAATTCTACATGTTGTTCTTCGCCCCTTAAATCCTGATTACATCAAGATTATCAAACCCGGCAGCTCTAGTATTCCCTTATTTTTTTGATCCATTTACCGGGTCTGGAAAGGCTTAGCTAAATTCTTCCCAAGTAAAGACGCCCAAACTGTATTTGTTATGTTGTCCCAAAGGTCTGTCAGGAACTTGTTTTGGCGCTGCTTATCTATTTTTTGCATTAAGATAGCAGAGATTTGCACAACATATTAATGCAATATTCACTTCAGTCTGCTTTTCCGGCTTAAAAAGACCGTTGACCTCTCTCTAAATGTTGAATGAAAACATATCTTTGACAAGCTGGAAGCCTCTATTAATTCTAAAGGACTAAATGTTGTTTGTAAGTTCAAATGCATTTTTAACCATATGTAGGTATGGTTAGAGAAGGATGTTGCCCTAGCATCCTGGGGAATATTACCCCTATAAATGTGCTATAATTACATTGTATTGCAATATACATACATATCGTTACTTTAATTCACAAAGGCCGTAACCAACACATTTTTCAAAATTGCGTTTTTCACAGATTTTGGTAGGAAGTATTAATATACACCTTCAATAAAAATTGTAAAATATTAGTACCAAAAACAACGGAATTACATGCCACTTTTTAAAAAGCCCTACCTGTTTTTGATAACTTTTTTTTTTTAATTTTTCTGGCTTCTCCCGTAAAATAAAAAATTTGTTGTTTAGGGCCTTGTGAATTAAGGCCTTCTAAGCATCGGTTACAAGGTCTTATCAAGCGTATTGTGTGTAAGACTGAAGCCCACCGTCAGCGAACTGATTAGACCTTATCTGTGCGGCTTTACACAACCACCATAGATCAGGTATTCACAATACGCCAAAACTTGAAAAAGACCCGAGAGAATAGGATCGACACAACAATTATTTGTCGATTTCAAAGCCGCCATTAAGGATCAGCTGTTTGAGCTTTATAACCTTAAGCAGCGAATTAAAATTCAGCGGTTCCGCTGGCTAGGTCACGTCGTTCGAATGGAACGCTCCAGCTCTGAAAGTATTCGCGATGCTGGCCAATTGGCGTCAGTTAGCACAGATAAGAAATGACTGGCGTGCTGTTTTGAACTTGGTCAAAATTGCTTAGGCGGTTACAGTGCCAATAAAGCAGAAGATTGTTTGCGAATTAATACCAGTTTCACGAAATTTTTATTTGCTTAAATTCGGAAACCTGTATTTTTTTAGGAAAGTTAAGAAATTGTGTTTATGTAATGGAATATGGGAGCTTAGAACTCAGAAAAATAAGAAAAAATATATACCAGTGTACGCCAACTTTATAAAATTTTAATTTTGAAAGTAACCAGGAAATGTTAGTATTCAAAATTTTTTAATCCGCTAATAGATAATTATATTTTAAGCCAAATAATTTTGACCGCATAATTGTCAAAATTTACAAAATGGCCAGCAATAAGATTTGCTTTAAATGTAGCATAAATTACGTAACGAGAAAATACTATTGGTAGAAGATATGGAGAAAAAGTTTGTTTCATTCCTAGCTTTTCAGCGAAAGGTTTGCTTCAGCTGTCTAAATATGATACAAATTCAAGAAAATTAAAGCGACAAAGTGCGATAGGGGATATTAGCTCTGATTCAGTACTCCATGAACTTACAGGTTTTTACATGAACTTGCAGGAAGTTAGAGGTAAAATGATCCCGCTCTCCAAAATCCTTCAAAATCCTGTAAATGAGAGTGATTTTTGGAGAGCTGTGTAGAGAATGAAGTTGCAAGATTTTACCCGAACTTTTTCTTCTGGTAGAATCACGAAAAGTGTCAAGCGATCACTGGTTGACGTTTTTACAGGAAAAATGTTTTTTCGTTCCCGTACTTTTTGTTGTTACCCACTTTTTACTTTAGAGAGTAATTTTGCTCTTTGACATTTTTCATTCATGTATTTTTGAATAAACTGCTGTCCATTTTCTGGGTCCTTGAAATATCCTTGGAAAATCTTTGTTAGAGTTCTGAATTTATACCATTTAAAATCCCATTTTCATATGATATTTTTCAAAACTCTCTCGCTTATGCTTGTAAGTTAGTCTAATAGTCAAGACTCTAGACCAAAACCTACATATATTTTAATAAAACCCGCAAGTAGCTTGTTGAATTATTTAAGGCCCAATTTCAGATGTGTTATTTAAGTAGAGTTGTTGTTTAACTTCAAAAATTCATTTTAAAATCATATGTTATTTAAGTAGAGTTGTTGTTTAACTTCAAAAATTCATTTTAAAATCATATATTTAAACTGCACTTAAATAGCTATTGAAATATGAAGTATGTAACCCTGTGTTTTTACCAAACAGCAGTCAGCTGTTCAGCACAAAATGTAGACAAACAGACAAAAGAAACAACAATTTCAGGGTATAACCAACAGTGTTGCCACTTATTGGCGTATATAAATAAAGGTGATATGAAACCCAACGAAAGCTAAGTGGCATTTAAGCAGCAATCCAAAATTAAACTTAAGTGCCATTTAAATTTTCATCTGACATTGGCCCTAAGTAATATTGCGACTTTTATTCCCAGGAAAAGATTGGAACGTACGAACATTTTTTACCCGTTCCTGGGAAATATTTTTACATGTGTTGAATGAATGACAATAATGGCTATTTATGACCAAAAAAACATTTCTGATCCAAAGCCTACTATTGTTTTTTTTTGACGAGAAAAGTGCCTCCGCATCGCACGTCCGTAACGCATGAAAGACCAATATGTAACTGTAAAATGGAGCATATTTCAAGAGTGAAGAGAATTCGTAATTTTTTATGTGAATTAATTTTCAAATATCTTCTTAAGTGATGAAAAGTGGTCTCCATACTTTTGATATGTATTTAATCATTGGAAGATTTAGTTAGGGGAAAAAGGGGCAAAGTGGTACGGTAAAAATTAAAAAATTTAAACTTTATGGGTAGGAAAATTTTGTGGAAACATCATTTACTAAATAAATAATCTCAAATCGAGTTTATTCTTTGTGAATAAGGGCATTCATTGCATTAATTTCCTAAATTTTGATGCAGCGATGCTGTCGCCACAGCGACGATGGCCCAATACTGCAAAATTCGCCTCCAAAGCAGAACGAAAGATTTTCCATGGTGCTGCCTAGGTTGAGAATCGATCCGGGTGATTAAGTCGGGAAGCGTCTTCGAGAGGAACTTCCACCAGTAAATAGTCACAAAATTAGCTCATTGACTGCTGTAGTCAACTGCAAAAAAATGACGACTCCTAAAACTTTGAACTAGAAGAGAGTAGCTTGCTGGACTGCTAGATAAGGTGGTAAAACTGACAAACAGTTATCCTTCATAGGAGTCGCACTTGGATAAATAGTTATAGATGAGATGAAAACACCAGTTTAAATTGGTCTTATGTGCCTCCATGAAAACCGATGCGTGCAATGCTCTTAGATTTTGGAGCACTCAACGAAATTCTGAAAGAGGCGAAAAATGCTGGGGCAACCCGTCCTTGTCCCACAAAGTGAACAGCTGAAATCTGTGAAAATACGGTTAATCGAGCTGTTTTGCAGTACAATAAAAGAGGCCCGTATTGGTAAAGGTACTGGGTTACCATATTGTTCAATTTTTTGAAACAAGATGGGGGCAACGGCACGATACTTTAATTCAATTTAATGCGGAATTATTATTAAACTGGCGACGCTCTAAAAAAAGGCGAGTGGAAGGACCAGGAATTTACAGGATCATTATACTTCAGAAATCGTCAGCTGAGGGAAAGCTCGCTCTATATCTGATGCCCATTCGAAAACGTTTTATCTCAGAAAACGGGTGAAAACGCCCTATTTCAGAATTTAGTTCAGAAATGCCCTATCTGGGCTGTCAGTTAAAAAATTCTAAACTCAATACGAATTTAATATATCGGCAGCTGAGATAGGGCATTCTTCTACCAAATTCTGATATAGAGCTTTTTCATCCGTTTGCTGGGATAGGGCGTTTTCGAATCGGCAGCGATCTTCCACTCAGTCGT